TTCAGGAAATGTAACCTGTTAAAGCCGGAAACATGAAACAATTCAAATTCATTTGAAGTGTCGTATTTGCTGCTGTGCTTTTTAATTTATTGCTTAAAAATGTTTTGTGAATATTTCCTGGGGAAAACACTGCACTGCTGATCAACTAGATGTAAAGAGGTGAAATCACCGTTATTGATCATGTAATCTAAACATGTGAGCTGATGCAGTAGCAGCGATGACTCTGTGCTGTTGTTCTTTTCCATCGTTTCTGTGCGTGAGCAAACAGTTTCCTCTTGTCCTCTTTGTCATTCATTTGAATCCGCTTCCTGTTCTGGTAAACTGTGTTTGTGCAGCCAGACAGTCCTCACCTCTTCCTCTTTCATGCCCCACAGAATGGAGGCCCTGCTGAACGAGTGGCTGTGGCGGGAGGAGTTCTGGATCCCTCCTGGGAGTCACTGGAAAGACATGGAGATGAAGGAAGGAGAGGGCCACTTTCCTCTACCCAGGCATCTCATCTACACCTTACCACTAGCTCTGATCTTCGTAGCCATCAGATATATCTTTGAGAGGTGAGGCCGAGCTCACGGCGAGCTCTGCTTTTTTATCTGCTGGGCTGAAACCAGCAGAGCAGTAAGTTATGTGGCCTTTTCAGTTTTACCGAGTTAGTTGAAGGAAGCAGTGTGATGCTGTTTGTGGGGTAAAAGTAATTTTCTGCTTGACTTGTTTTGGTCATGGTGGCTGGCTGGAGGGTGTTTGCTGCTAAGCTGCTGAGGAACGCCTCCTCTTCCCTTTATTTATGCGCTACATGCTGTGTGAGAGTCCCGTCTCCCCCAGGCTCGCTCCAGCCTTGTGTTAAAGTGTGTCTGAGTGTTTTTGAGGGGAAATATCTCTTATGGTGACTACACAAGTTTATAGCTGAGGTTTTACGATGCATGCTGATTCTCTGTAAGCTGCCTCTGCAGGGTATAGTCCACACCAACCAGTCAGTGGCTGCTGTCGGGGTGATCGCACAGAAAGTCCTACTAGTGCTTGTTATACGTGTCCTCCAGGTGCTTCAAGAGATTCCCTAAGATCAGAATATTTCTGCTGTCACAGCTGAAGGGATTTGAATGTTATCTTCAGATACCTGACACTTCTTAGTAGATCTTCACTCGTCTTTATAAGCGTTTCATAGCGTTCTACTTTAACGTAACATTTGAACACGCTGCCCTTTGGATGAATTAAAGAGAAATAATAATAATTGGAGGCTACAGTGAATCTGTGAGTCTGGTCTGATGATGCGTTTGTCTCAGTGTCTCAAACACTTTCTTGGTTTTACAGGATTGAATGTTTCAGAATGTTAGAAGCACAAAATCAGACATTTGATGAACCAAAATACTGATGAGAGCTTTCACTGTAATCTGCCAATCACGTTGATGCTTGTGAGCAAAGCTGCTTTAACAGAAACATCACAGTAAACCTGTTTGTACAGCTAACCAGAGACGCGGCCCACATGACCACAGCAGCACGCCTTTCCATTATCATCATCGTCAGCTGCTGTGTGTCTGTGAGGGCTGAAGATTAGCGTCCTCGTCTGTACTTTCATCAGCGATGTTTTAGCAGATTGGTAACATTAGCTGTGGGAGCAGTCCGGGGTCAGAGGGTGACGGCGAGTCGTAGAGGTGGGCACCTTCATTTGTGCTCGCGTAGACGTCGGCCAGCTGGAAGGTGTCTCCACGCAGTCTTCTCAGGCCACAGCTGTGTGTGTGTGTGTGTGTGTGTGTGTGTTCCTGTAACCAGAGCGCTGTGTGTCCCTCTGTGAAGCTGCCCTGACCTTCTCATTATCTCCCTGCGTGCACACTTCAGGATCATTATCTCTGAGATAGAATTACACACACGCACGTTTATCTAAACATGTATTCATTGCTGATACCCTCATATTGTATTATTCTGTTGATCTTTCTGTCTCCTTCCGTCTGTCACACACACACACACACACACACACACACACACACACACACACACACACACACACACACACACAGATCAAGTGTCTCTTGATGCTGGATCGGATAATGCCAAAGGCTGTCTGGGCACAAGCCGCCCACGGCAGCAGCTCCACAGGCTGTCAGGAGTAATGAGCTCCTCTCGTTGCTCTTCTGTGTTTGGAGCACATCGAGCAGCTGTTGATGACATCACACATACTTTGTTTTATTAACAGGGTTGCATTTGCTATTATGCACATATATGCATATATATATAAAACAACATCTCTTCTGCTCTCTGTCTTCTCAGGGTCATCGCCATCCCCCTCAGCAGAGTCTTAGGTGTGAAGGATCGGATTCGGATTCGAGCCGCTTCCATCCCAAAGCTGGAAGCGTTTTATAAACAGCACAGCCAGCAGCCATCGCAGGTTGGTGTTCACAGGAGCCTCTAACTGTCCGTGGAGCGCACTACTGGTACACGTAACAGGGATAATGCAACGACAGAGTCATTGCTTTAAATGTGACACTCATCTGTATAATACAGTAAATATTCCACCAATATATGAATAAATGAATTATTGAAGTCCGTAATTAATTACTGATTACTTCCCCAAAAAAGTAATCCCGTTACTTTACTGATTACTTATTTTCAAAAGTAATTAATTACTTAGTTACTT